CAGGTGTTTACCCAGCACTGGTTGGTGCTGTTGGCACAGACACTGACAGCTCTCAAGCTGTCTGGGCTCACATCCCTGGTCTCTCCCCACCCCCACCTGGCATGTTGCATGAGCTGGAGCCAGTCACCTCCCTGGGCCTCTATTTCCTCACCTCCGAAACAGCAATGCCAAGAGCACGGTTTCAGGGGGCTATTCTGAGCATTATATATGCTCATAGATGGGCCTGGCACAAAGTAAGTGGTCAGTAAATGTCAGTTACTCTTATTTCCTAATACCCTGTGTTCATTGCTTCATCCTCCTTCCTTGTAATTATCCACTTTGCCATTTCTATTCCTGTCCATCAAAGCTTCTCCCAGTGTCTTTTCTGGTCACCTGTGCCCCCTCCTCTCCTATGACTGACACACAGCCTGGGCCATTTTTCTTACCAAGACCTCCCATCCCTCATCCTTCAAACGTCTTCCTATCTCTTTCTTGCCTCCTTTTGGAAACCTGCAGATCCCATGTAGCATCTTGGGCATTTTTGTACTTAGAAGCCCATCTTTTGACACCCACTCTATGATAATTTAACACCAGCAGTTCACCAGGCCTGGGGCTGGCTGCCTTGGGGCTGGCAGTGTGGTTTAGCAGAAAGAGCACTGGGCTGGGGGCACAGCGATCATCTCTGCGTGGGCTCTGCCACCAGCTCCTCCGACCACAGTGCAGATGGCCCTTCCTTGGTCTGCATCTTATGGACAGGAGGAACTTTAGGGCTGCAGGGAACTCTAACAGCCTGTGGTTTTGAATCCAGCACTTCCTGAGCCCCCAGCATGGGCTACGGTGTGTGCCGCGTGCTTTTGTCTGCTCATTCCACAAATTTCAATTGAGCCAATACTGGCCGGACCCTGTCCTAGGCGATGGAGCTGCAAGGGAGATTAGGACAGACTGTGACATCCTTCATAGAATGAGGTCAGAGCTGCCTGGATAGGAAGTGACTCTGCCATCACTTCCTGTATGAGCTGAAGCCTGGGATGAGGATGGGGCAATCGATGGGGAAGTGGGGAGCACCTGAGCCGTGGGGTGGGCGGGATGCAGACATGTCTGTGTTTCTGCTGTGCCTCCTGTTCCTCTGCTGGGATTGGGACTATTTCCATCCTGCTGACCCCTTGCGACTCACACTTGGGGGGCTGCCTCTTGGGTTAGACCTTCCACTCCCGCGGTCTGTTGTTCACTGACCACTACTGTTGTTGTAATACTCCATGATGTTATTCAGGGTCTCCATAAAGATGTCCTCCCTGGCCTTCTGAAGTTGGTTCTGCTTCTCCCAGTCCTCTACTCCTTTCACGTGTCTCCATGATCCCAGGGCTCAGCCTTCCCGTCTTCACTGTTGTAGTGGAAGAATGCACGGTCATTGAGGAAGACAGTGCCCTGCAGCCTGTGGGTGCCTTTGCTAGGCCTGGACAGCCCAGTGTAGAGATAGGTCAGAGAGTAATGACCTGCAAAAGAAAAGACTCTGAGGGCTGGGGTCCATGCAAGGGTGTCCCACTGTGGGGCTGCAGAGGGCCAGGATGGGAGGCCTGGCCACTGGCCTCTTCCTCCCCACTCTCTCCTCTGCTCTCAGCTTCACATCATCAGAGCCTTACTCAAGGAAACAGGCTCTACTTTCATGCTGGGGATGATATTTCAGAGACCATTCTGTGCCTTCACTACAGAGTTTAATCTGCTTGGCACAGAAGAAGATAACATTTCTCAGCCTCCTTATAGATACATCGGAACCATGTAACTGAGTTTTGTCAAACAAGAATGTGAGTGGAAGTGACTGATGTCTTTCTTCTGGTCCAAGACCCTACCACCTGGCTTGCCCCTACTGTCTCTTATCCCTTTCGTTGATGACTATGGAGGCCACAAGATGAAACAGAAGAGTCCCAAGATGCAGACAGCCTGGATCCCTGAGTCACCCTGTGGAGGAGAGGAACCTTGCCCAATCTGCATTGAATTTGACATGAGAAATAAACATTTGTAGTCTAACTGAACAAATACATATAGTTAGAAAGTGTAGGAAGGTGATTTTACTAGAAAACTCAAGAAGTGACCCAGAATTGATCAGCATAGGGTAAGGCTAGGATACCTCTCAGAATTCCTGGCATTGTACCTTGCAGTTTGGTACAAGATGGAAGCTGAGAGAGTGGGACATTTCCACAATTAGTTCCATAGTCAATTTAGAATATAATACGTGATTGTTAGTAATGTTGGAGGTCATATGGCAGATTTCTAATTTAAGTACTGAAATCATTCTTGCTCATGAGTTTCTGAATGTGATTACCCTTTAAATCAGACCTTGCATAAAATAGATTACCCTCTACAATGTGGGTGGGCCTCATCCAATCAGTGGAAGGTGTCAAGAGAAAAGGCTGAGGTACCCCAGAGAAGAAAGAATTCTGCCTCCAGAGACTACCCTTGGACTTAGGACAGCAATACCAACTTTTTCCTGGGTCTCCAGCCTGCTGGCTTGCTTTGCTGATTTAGGACTTTTAGCCCTCAGAATTGTGTGAGCCACAAGAAATACTAAATAAAACTCCTCCCTTTCTCTCTTTTGTATATACACACACACACACTCGTGTATATATATATACACACACACACATATATTTAGTGTATATATACAGTGTATATTCATATATACATATGGGCGTGTGTATACAATGTATATTAGTTTTGTTTCCCTGGAGAACCCTGAATAATTAAGATTTGGATGCAGAATGGGATTAACATTCTAAATGTGATTTTTTTTTTTTTTTTTT